CTCTGGTAGCAGCCAGGAGGCAAGGGCTTGGGGGGGGGATACTCAAACCAGAGGTCACTGCCCAGGGGGACCCTGTGCCAAGGCCAGACCTTGAAGATGTTCTGCAGCTCCTGGATGCCGAGGGTGCTGGCACTGCACACCAGCACCTGTAACATGCTGTCCATCGCCGACAGGGTCTGCAAGGGAGCGGGGTCTCAAGGGCAGCCCTGGCAGCCTTTGGGAGCAGCGCAGCCGTGGCCCTGCTCTGACCAGGAAGGGGCCTCGGGACAGGGAACTCCCTGTGGCTCACACCATGGCATACCTTGCAGTAGAGCCAAGCCTCGGGTCCCTGGCTGCCCTGCGGAGGCAGGTGGAAGATGCTGCAGAAGCAGGCTTTCAGGAGGCTGTTCTTCTCCTGCAGAAGGAGCCCCGCTCTGCTGCAGGGACAAGGAAGAGCTCTTTGGAGGAGGCAGACCCAGGGGCTGGAGAGCTGGGCTGATCCCCACCTTACAGGGGCCATGTAAACCCCTGCTAACCCTGACATTGGCCTCTGGGGGGAAGTCCCTGTGCCACCTCCTGCCCTGCTGTCTTCCCCCCTCTCAGTCCCAGCTCTCTGGGTGTCCCCTTGACAGGGCTGATGGGGCATTGGGCGCCGGGGACGCCGAGCTGGGGCTGGGCAGGTACCTCATGGCAGCGATGGTCAGCATGACTTGCTGCCGCACCGTGGTGTCCAGGTGATCAACGGGCTCCTCTTGCAGCAGCACCTGAGGGGCACAGCAGTGTGGATGGGTCAGGACAGGGCAGCTCCTTCATCCAGCAATAGCCCGGGGGGCTGTCAGAGCCCATCCTGGCACCCCCAACCATTAGCAGTAGTCCCAGCCACGTAGCAGGAAGGGCTGCGCCCGTCACAGAACACAGCCTGGCCAAGGGACCTGCAGCCGGGCCATGCAGGTGGCTCTGGAGCATCGCCAAGGATGCAGCCCCAGAGCGGCGCTCGCTCCGCTCGCACTCCCTGCCTGGCTGAGCCCTCTCCTGCCCCAGGGCTGTGCCATTGACCCTGCCTCAGCCTGACCAGCCATCCCCTCACCTCGAGGGTCTCAGCCAGCTCAGGCTGGAAGAGCAGCAGCGTGCCCCACAGGAAGGAGTGCCTGCTGCTGGTGGTGCAGATGGTGCAGACGGACTCCAGAAACCTCAGCTTCTGGTCTTCTTGCTGCCAGCCGGGGAGGTGACAGATGGACAGACATCGTCAGGCGGGAGAGACAGATGGGGGGTCCGTAAGAGCCCCCAGCACCTTCTGAGTACGGGACGGAGGCAGAAAGACCGTGCAGGAGACACAGGCACAGCCGCATGGAAGTGGCCGTGGATACCTTTGGTCTGCTCCTGATGGACGCCTCGATGGTGTCCAGGCTGTTCTTTTCTTCGCTGGACACGTCCGCAGTTGAGATGCATGAACCTGGCCAAGAGAGAGCAGGCAGGACTGGAGGGCAGGCAGTGGGGAGTACACGAGCCCTCTGCCCAGCTTCAGGGATGTCCCCAGCCCTGGCTCTAGGCTGGGACACCGGTGCCGCCCGTGCACCCCAGGGGCGAGGATGCGATGCGGGAGGGCAGCATGGGAGGGAGGCCCAGTGTGCCCCAAGGAGAGACACCCGGCACCAGGGGAAGAGGGAGCTCCTGGCCCAGAGATGCTGTGGTGAGGCTGTTCCCTGGGCTCTGCACTGCGGGGCCGATGCCTGGCTGGGGACTGCAAGCGTGGGACGGGGCAGGGTGGGCAGCCCCTGCCCGCAGCACCCCCGCACTCACCTTTACGCATCTCATTGCACTTCAGCCCGGAGCTGGGAGCCGGGCCAGCTTCGTCCTCCTCCACCCAGGCCAGCCTGGGTTTGCTGGGGGTTCTCGCCTCCATCCTGAGGGAGGGAGGGAGGGAGGGAGGAAAGGGGTGAAGGGGACCCCCCACCACCAGAGTGCTTGTGGGGCTCCTTGCTCCCACCATGTCCCTGAGACACTGTGCAGGCAGGGCTGGTTGACAGAGTGCCCCGATGTCATCCCCGCTCAAGCTCCTGATCCCCCCCTCCACAGCACCCCTCCTGTGACCCCAGAGCCCCACAGAACCCTCCTTGCCCCAGGGCGGTGGGACTGACTCCTCCTTCCTCCTCCTTCTGGCACAGGGTTGGGGTTCATCTAAGCCAGAGTACCCCATTGTCACAACCCCACTGTCCCCTTGCTCCTGGGCACTGGGGCCACCCCCACCTGCAGCTGGGCTGGGGCGCAGGCCGTGGCCCTCAGGCACTCGAAGACTCTTCCCTCTTCCACAGGAGGCCCTGGACACGGCCCAGGGTCTCCCCTCGTATGAAGGCTGCTGAGCACGCAGGGATGCTGGGTGCACACCATGCACTCGGCCACTGCTGCAGCCGCACTGACCTGGAGATGCTGGGGTCCCCCTAACATAGCCGATCCCCTGGTTACGGTTGCCAGGGCTGTCAATAATGGGTCAATTATGAGTCAGTGATGGCCCCTGCCAGGGATCCCTACCCACCTCACCCCCGGAAACACGGCCAGGTTGGCAGAGCCCTGGGCAGCAGGAGCGGGCTGGAGCAGGAAGGAGCGGGAAGGGGTGGCAAGGAGCGGGTTGGAGCGGGCAGCCGCCTGCTGTGGGGCTGGGGAAGGCTAGCGCTGCCTCCTCTGCCACTAGGACCCCCGCTGGGTCGGTAGGACACGCCATGGCCGTGAGCTTGTCACCGAAATCCGGGAAATAAGCTCTCTAACCGGAATGAAAGGTTAGAAACCTGACGTTACTTTGTTAGGGTACCGGGTGCATGGGGAGTCACTCTGCCTAACACACACACCGAGAAGGGACAGTTTACAGCTTAGACGTCATTACGTATGTACTCATTGTGATGCGTGAAATCCCACTCGATTCTCCTTACTGATGCACGTGGTAATTTGGGCAGATAAGGCCATGGCGCAGGCGCTGTGCATTTGAGGAGTGGTCTCTGGAGGTTGTAGTGCTCTTTTGGGGAGAAATTCCCTGACTCGTTTTACACTTTTATGGAAATCCCTTAGTCAAGGGTGTTGGAACGCGTGTTTAGTCTTTCAAACCAACTACATGTTCTTGTTTGCTCCAATTCACGACCCTGAGAGGCTCCTCGAGGTGTTTTCTTTTGCAGCCATGTACCTGTTTCTCAGCAAAAGGAGGAACCTACGCTGGGGTGGGAGAAGACATCTGGTCCTCCTGTTGCAGCCTTCCTTACCCGCAGAACTGTAGCCTCCAGAGGCAGTGAAACACCGGTTTAAGCATCCTCGTCGCCCTGTCTGTGCCTAAGTCTCTGTATCCAGTGAGACCCCAATTTCATGTGGTGCCAGTGGCGGTGAGCTCCGCCCGGCGACACGACACCGGCCACCGCGTGTGCCGCAACCGGTGGCGAGAGGAGCGGGAGTTTTGGGGGGCTTCCGTGATGGGCAGAGGCGGGGCAGGGAGGGAGGCGGTCCTGAAGGCGGTGGCGGGTCAGTGACGGGCCCGGCATTGAGGGGACGGGTGACGGGCCAGTGACTGGTCAGTGGTGGGTCAATGGCGGATAAGAGATGGATCGGAGATGGGGTGGGGGCAGTGATCAGCTGGGTGATGCCGTTCAGGTTTGTGCACCTCGTGTGGGTGCAGTGTGGATCGCAGTGATGGGGGGTGCAGTCTGGGTGCCGTGGCAGGGGGCTGCTGGCAGTAGGCCATGTCCGGCAGCGTGGCTGCCGTGCTTCCCACTGAGCAGCCTGGGGAGACTGAGGCACACGTGGCTGGACGGGCACCGGGCGAGTACGGGAGAGCTCCCTGCAGTGCGCTGCCGGTGAGGCGGGCAGCCGGGTGCACGCGTTGGTGTGCCAGAAGGTGGGGTGGCACAGCACAGCACCCCGGCGGTGCCTGACACGTGTCCTCCTTGCCCCTCGCAGCAATGGGCTGTGGCCAGGCGGGTCCCCACATCCCACTGCTGCTGCTGCCGCCCTGCTGCTCAGAAGAGGTCCCTCCCTCTGCCCGCTGCCCCTGAGGACCCGAGGCTTTGGGGTGACCCCTCCCTGGGGACCTGTGCTGGGGCTCTGGGGTATGGCCCGTGAAGCCGCAGGGGGAGAGCGCCAGGGCTGGGCTCCCCTTTCCAGGCAGGCAGCTGCGCCTGGAGGGTTGTGCAGTACAGGCAGTGGGTGAGGGCCTGGGTGTGCTGGGGCAGGAGAAGGGGCTCTGGTAGCAGCCAGGAGGCAAGGGCTCGGGGGGGGATACTCAAGCCAGAGGTCACTGCCCAGGGGGACCCTGTGCCAAGGCCAGACCTTGAAGATGTTCTGCAGCTCCTGGATGCCGAGGGTGCTGGCACTGCACACCAGCACCTGTAACATGCTGTCCATCGCCGACAGGGTCTGCAAGGGAGCGGGGTCTCGAGGGCAGCCCTGGCAGCCTGGGGGAGCAGCGCAGCCGTGGCCCTGCTCTGACCAGGAAGGGGCCTCGGGACAGGGAACTCCCTGTGGCTCACACCATGGCATACCTTGCAGTAGAGCCAAGCCTGCCCATGCCTGCACTGTCCCCTCGCTCCTGGGCACTGGGGCCACCCCCACCTGCGGCTGGGCCGGGCCACAACCCGTGGCCCTCCGGCACTCCAAGGCTCTTCCCTCTTCCACAGGAGGCCCAGGGTTTCCCCTCGTATGAAGGCAGCTGCGCGCGCAGGGATGCCGGGTGCACACCATGCACTCGGCCACTGCTGCAGCCGCACTGACCTGGGGGTGCTGGGGTCCCCCTAACATAGCCGATCCCCCGGTTACGGTTGCAGTGACACACCGCAGGTTACGACCAGGGAACCCAGGAACCCTGGGTTTCACCAGGCCCCATCGCGGGCCCAGTCTCGGTAGCACCTTGCTTATGGAGAAAGGCTGTGAGCAGTGGGGCTGTTTGGCGTGGAGCAGGCTGCAGGCAGAGCTTATTGGAGGATTTTAATACCGAAAGAGGGCGTGCGAGATATGGACACCTTTTACCGGGCCTCCAATGACAGGAGCAGTGGTTTCAAACCGAAAGAAGGTGGGTTTAAATTACACGTAGGGATGAAACATCGTGTGATGAGGGTGGCGAGACACTGGACTGAGTTGCACACAGAGGCAGTGGATGCCTTGTCCGGGGCAGTGCAGGCTGGGGCTCCGAGTAAAGAACTAAGTGACGGTGGGGCTGGGTCCCCCCGTGCCACGAGCCCCATGGCGGTGGCAGAAGGACAGGTCCCGGCCCGGACTACAGCTCCCAGCATGCCCCTCGGCCCTCTGCGCCTGCGCACCGCCTGGAACGTTCCAGGCGGCAGGCGCGGGGTTTCCTGGGTAGAAGACGGGCAGTCACGTCGGCGCCATTTTGTGGCGAGGGAGCGAGCTCCTGCGTCAGTGTTTTGTGAGCGCCGTGGTGGCGTTTGTTGCTGCGCTCAGTGCTTGCGGGTCGCGGGCGGCGGCATGGGCTCGGACAAGCGGTGAGAACGGGCGGGAGGGCGGAGGGAGGAGTGGATGGAGAGGGACGAAGGGGCGGGCGGCCCCGCAGGATGGGCAGTGGTGGGGGTCGTTGCGGGCTGTTCTCCTTCTGAGTTCGTCTCAGTGTGACCCGCAGCGTGAGCAGGACGGAGCGGAGCGGCCGCTACGGCTCTATCGTGGAGAGGGAGGACCGTGATGAGCGAGAGTCCCGGAGCCGGCGCAGGGACTCTGACTGCAAGAGGTCCAGTGGAGAGCGCCGCGGTGACCGCTACGATGATTACCGCGACTACGATAGTCGTGACTACGACAGTCGAGATTATGATAGCCGTGATAGTCGAGACTACGACAGCCGGGACTACGACAGTCGCGACAGCAGGGTCTGCAGGGACTACGATAGTCGCGACAGCCGGGACTGCCGTGATTATGACAGCCGCGATTGCCGGGACTACGACAGCCGAGACTACGATTGCCGGGACTACGACAGCCGGGATTGTCGAGACTACGACAGTCGTGACAGCCGAGACTATGATAGAGACTACGATAGTCGCGATTACGATAGCCCTGAAGTGAGTGGGGGGAGCTATCCGGGCCGGAGCCTTGGGCGCTGACGCCGTGGGGCAGCTATGGCCACCCCGAGGTGGGGAGGGGGCCAGGCGGTGGCTGGTGGGCTGCACCCAGCCCGGGACCCCCGTAAGGGCCCTCTTGGGGCTGGAGGAGCCCGGTGCTTGGGTTGGTATCACGGCGGGGTGGGGATGTTAGGGCAGGGGTAGGGGTTTGAGCTCAGTGGTGTGCCTAAGGCTGTCAGGACCAAACCCGAGGAAGGTGGTCGTATGGGGAGCTGGTTTTGTTATGCTTTGTTCTTAACTGCATTTCGGGCGCATGCCGCTAGAAATCGGCAGTGGTTAATTCTGGGTGCTGGGTTCTCAGAGGGAACGGGAGCGCAGGAACAGTGACAAATCGGAAGATGGATACCATTCTGATGGCGACTATGGAGAGCACGACTACAGGAACGACATTAACGATGAGAAAGAAAGCAAAACTATCATGTTACGTGGCCTCCCCATTACGGTTACAGAGAACGATGTAAGTAAGCAGAAGGGGGCTTTGCTGTTCATGCACCGTCTTTGCGTCAGTCGGGCTGTGGTAGTGGCTGCTGCCATTTTGTGCAAAGCTGCATCATAGTGCCCCCCTCCAGTGTGCTGGTCCTGCCATTTTGAATCCTAACAGGGTTTAAACTGCCTCTGTTAAGTAACAGAGGTCAGATGAATGTTAACCAGCTTCTTTCGCACGGAGCAGTCTGAATAGTCTTTTTTCATGCGTGCTTGGATGCGTTCCGTAAGAGGGGATTTTAAACTACCTGCCTTTACTGCTTTTACTGGAGGAGAGGCAGGTTTTTTTCTTCTTGCCCCCCTACTATTTGTCCACCTCCTTCCCCCGGGGGAGGGGAAGG